CAAGGCAAAAAATATTTTTAAAAATTTGACCCGTATCCTATGGTCGCACAGCAAACAGAATTTTTTGCATTAGATTATCCTTTTTCAAACATCTAATTCTCTTTTAAAAGTCTTTGTTGGTTCTGCCCGAATAACCCTCTGTATCAATATAATTCTAACCTCTCTCTTTAACTATTTTGGTAACAATACAAAATTTATGCCCTTTAGTTACCAACAACAATAAATTACATTTGTATAGTGCCTTTCATGTTGGGAGGACGTCCCAAGGTGCTGGACAGTCAGAGATTTGGACTCGAGCAGGGGCTTGGGATCAGGAGGGGTGGAGGGCATGGATAGGAGGGTGGCCAAAGGCGCGGCTGAAGAGAAGCGTCTCGACGGAAGCAAGGGAGGGAGAATGACGAAGGAATTGTGGGATGGAGTTCCAAGGAGTGGGGCAGAGTGGTTGAAGGCCCGACTGCCAATGCTGTGGCGGGCAGGGAACATGGAGCAGGCCAGAGCCTTCTGAGCGGAGGGAGCAGACAGCTTGACATTGCTGTGAGGAGCTAATGTTTGATAACTTGCCCATCTTACTGTTGAGGATGATTAGTCATGTAGAAGCTTATCATCATGTTTAGTAATTAGTTGCTTATGATCATGTTTCACCTGAAGTGTGATCACCATCACTTTGTCAGATTATAAATTGATCGCTTTTTTAGTAGAAATAGACGAAACATGATGAACTATGGAATTACAGAATTACAGCCTGTAAATGAGCTAACCTGGTAACACATTAGTGAGGAAGTTGCAAATGACTTATGGATGGTGTGCAAATGGGATATGGATTATTTTATAAAGCTCCTCATTGCATAATTTTAGACCATCTAAAACGTAAATGATTGAATACCTCGGGGCTTAAATCCACCTTTTAAAGCTTTTTAGCTTTTAAAACTTAAGAGGCAGAATTGTGTTTTCTGTAGGTCTTTTTAAAACTCCAAAAACAATCTCCTAAATTTAAAAATCTGTCAAAATTCAGCACAATCTGAATTTTAAAGCTGTAAACTTAGCACTAAAGCAATCTGAAATTTCTGGCCGATATGAATTAAAATCACTTGGTGCAAGATATTGGAGTGCAGATGGCATCCATGGAACAAGACGGAAAGAAAGAAACAAAACTGGAAGGAGTGGGGGTACGGGCAATCAAGCAAGCATGGTTAAACATTAAATAGAAGTTTAATTTTAAAAGACAACTAAATTTATATTCATATCTCATAGAAATGTTCCAGGTAATCTGAAAGATATTTGTGTTATACAGTATCATCTCTTTTGACTTGTGATATAACTGTGAAGAATATAATTTCTATATGAATACAACAACAACAACAAGATTCCATTTATAAAGCGCCTTTCACGTCAGGAGGAAGTCCCAAGGCGCTGCACAGTTGGGTCATGACCCGAGCAGGGGGGAAATGGTCAGGGTGAGGGGAGGGAGCGAGGAGGGGGAAATGGTCAGGGTGAGGGGAGGGATGGGAGGGAGCGAGAAGGGGGAAGAGAGTCGAGAGGGGAGCTGAAGGCTCGGTCAAAGAGAAAGGTTTTGAGACCGGCCTTGAAGGAGGAAAGGGAGGAAGCAAGGCGAAGGCACTGGGGGATAGAGTTCCAGAGCCTCGGGGCTGAGAGGCTGAAGGCCCGACCACCAATGGTAGGGCGATTGGGGCGGGGGATGTGGAGCAGACCGGAGCCGGAGGAACGGAGGGTACGGGCAGGTAGGTAGGGGGATAGTAGGTTGGAGAGGTAGGAGGGAGCAAGGCCGTGAATGGCCTTGTAGGTGAGGATGAGGATCTTGAAATCAATCCTCTGGGGGATGGGGAGCCAGTGGAGGCGAGCGAGGGTGGGAGTGATGTGGTCCCGAAGCCTGGTGCGGGACAGTACACGAGCTGCAGAGTTCTGGATGACCTTCAGCTTGTGGAGGAAGGTTGCGGGAAGGCCGGCGAGGAGAGAGATCATATATTCAGATATAAATTAATCATGCCTCATAGCACTATACATCTTACACTTGGCTACTTGAGAAATATGTTTCTATATCCTACATAAGAGGGATGAGCTGTGAGGAACAAGCATGCAGTTAGGCTGCAGTTGGTGTATTGGGTTCAGTTTTGATGTCCAACTTCAGGAATTTACTGAACTTCCTTCAGTATGAAGGAATTTACTCGGATGACAGAATTAGTTTTTGGGATGAGTGGCTTTACTTAGGAGTTGAGACAAGAGAAACAAGGCTGTTTTCACCAGAATAGAGAAGGTTGATACGTGTCAGAGGTGTTCAAAGTGATGAGAGGTTTTGATAAGGTAAATTGGGAGAATCTATTTCCACTAGTTGGGTGATTTGGACAGCCATCATCACCCCATCTTCAAAAAACGTTCCTAGGGCCCATCCCTACCATCCAACTATTGGACCATCTCCAACCTCCCTTTCTTTTCCAAGGTCCTGGAACGAGTCACTGCTTCCTAGTTTCATTCCTTCCGCTCCCGCCACTCCCTCTATTAACCCCTCTAACCATTTTCCGTGCTGCCCACAGCACAGAAATAGCCCTGGTCAATGTGACAAAAGATATTTTGTGCATCTGTGACCAGGGCTTCCTCTGTCTCCTCATCCTCCTTGTCCTCTCTGCTACCTTTACATTGTAGTCTCGTCCAGCACCTCTCCACTCACTTCAGCCTTCATGGTTCTGTCCTTCACTGGTTCAGACCCTACCTTTCACACCCATTCACTTTATCTCCATAAATGGCTTCTCCTCCAGCCCTGCACCATCTCATGCAGCGTTCCTCAGGGCTCTGCCCTTGGTCCTCTCTGCTTCAACATGTACATGCTCCATTTTGGTGACATCATCCGCAGACACGAAGTCAACTTCCACATGTATGCGAATGACACCCCTCTCTATCTCTCTGCCTTCACTATCAAGTCCTGGATGAGAGCTAACTTTCTCCAGTTGAACGTCAACAAGATCGAGGCCCTCCTGATTGGTTCCAGTCAGCGCCTCCACACCTCAGGCACTGGCAGCATCACCACTCACTGATGCACTTTCCATCTCACCGAGCCAGTTCGGAACCTTGGCGTCTTGTTTGACCCTTAACTGTCCTTTCTACCCCATACCTGTTTCATGACCTGCTCGGCCTACCCCCACCTCTGCAACATCAACTGGCTCCGCCACTGCATCTCCCCTCTGGAGGCCGAAACCATCATCCTCACATTCATCACATCTCAGCTCGACTTCCCAAATCTTCCCTCCACAAGCTACATATCATCCAGAACTCTGTAGCTCATGTCCTCTGAAAGCATCAGGCTCTGTGACCCTACCACCTTTGGCCATCTCCACTGGCTCCCCATCCCCCAGAGGACTGAATTCAAAATCCTCGTCCTTGCCTTCAAGCCCCTCCACGACCTTGCTCCTTCCAACCTCTGTGACCTGCGAACCCCATATCAAACTGTCTGCTCCCTCCACAGCAGGCTCCATCTAACAGCCCCACCATGCCCAGCTTCCAGAAAGCAGCCCTAAAATGGTCCAAATCCTTTGCAACCAAACCGTGATTTGATTTTACTCCAAAATGTTATCAGCCAGTTTTACAATGGTCTACAACAAAAAAAACTTGCATTTATAAAGCGCTCTTCACGTACGGTAATGTCCCAGAACGCTTGAGCACCTGTCTAACATTAACAACAAAGTTAGATAACATCAGATTACAGTTTCTATTTAAGTAAGTATTAATAACTAATTCTGTATGCAAACTGGCTTTCCAAACGTTGGATGTTAATTCCAAAAATATATTTTTTAAATCGTTTGTTACAACAAGCAAGTTTGTCTCTATTTGAAATAACATTGCACAACATGCCTAGCCCCTAAAGAATCCATCCAAGAAAAAAAATGTAAAAAGTCCAATAAAATTAAAGATCTGCTACAAGCTCTCAGATGGCCTAGGATGCACTACTGAAATTCAGATGTGATGTAATTGCCTACTACAGCCCATCGCTAACAATGTGCAACTCTACCTTCCACACGTAAAAACAAAAATTACCAGTCCAATCACTGTGATAAACAGACCCCAAAAATCTGTCTCATTGATGTCAACTCTGAATTTGTGGGTATTTAAGGTGCTAATGGGGGTGGGTAGGTCAGGCTATGGTGTATTGCAGGTAGAGTGCACTGTGACGTATTGCAGACTTTCTTTTACAATCTGGCTTCATTGGCCTTACCAGCTCAATTCTACCCCGTGACCAAGGGACAACACCTCAGTGCGGGCAACAGACAGTCCATCATTTACAATTTACCCATAAAGTTAATACCTTGAATGTTGCCTTTTCTTCGTGATTTCTGGAACCACTTCAGCATTATTTTTAAATGCAATATAATACTCCTACCAGCTGTGTGGTTTTTTTAAAAAGAAAAACTATAATAACTTTTATTCCTTGGATTCCACATTTATAATTCCCAACATATAGAAAACAGCATTAAGGAATTTAAGAAATTAGAGGGCTATAATTCAATCGGAGGGGGAGACTATTAGGACTATAAAACAACACTTAAGCTTCTTCTCCTAGCAGTTGCTTTAATTTAATTATTAATCATTTAGACATCTCTCTCAGGTATCCACTAATCCATATCAATGCTTCAGAGTAATGGGTAAATAGGAATGTTTCGCAAGGCAACAGTATTTGTCCATGTGTAACCATTATAAACTACTGTAGGACAATCCCAGGAAAATATTCACATTCCCAACAGATACTTGAAAGCATTTTTCTAATAGCACCTTACAAAGTTAATAGATATAAGTGGTTCCTGGATTCTTATAAATCAAAGGCAAATGTCTGCACCACCACACTGGAAGCTCCCCTTGCACAATATGGCTTGACCTACCATCACAATATAGCATATACTCAAATTGCAGTGATTATAGATTTTTATTTCATTGACTATTATAACACACAAGCATACATGAAATATGTACTGTTAAACAATCCATATCCAAATTACCTGCAAAGGTTCCATTATTGGCAATGTATGTTGCCATGTCAACTCGCTTGTTGTCAATGTGAAGTTCTTTCATACATCCCACAAATTCCCGGTTTACCACTGGGAAATTCTCAGGCAGATTCGGCACACCACCCAGCAGCAAAGGACCCGTGAGATCCAGAGATCTATTGGTAAAGAAAGAACTCACATTTTTATAGTGTTTTACCATGTCAAACCATCTCAAAACTTTAAAAATAATTGCTATCAAGCATAGTGAAGTACAGGCAAATACAGCAGCCATTTGCACCAGCAATGTCCCATTATAATAGAATCTACAGCACCAAAAAATAATTTGGTTGAGCTAGTCTGTGCTGTTGTTCACATATAATCCTCCATCCATCAGATAGCAGATAATTATTGGGGGAGGACAAGTTTGCAGGGCTATGGGGAGAGAATGGGGAGTGGGATTGATTTGGAAGCTCTTTTCAAAGACCTTGTCAAAGAACAGACAAGATGGGCTGAATAGCCTCCTTCTGTGCTGTATATTTCTATGATTCTATGATCCTAATCCCACCCCCTCCATCACGCTTCTATTCCCTGCTCTTATGTATTCCTCTTAATGTGAGGTTAACCACCAATAAACTGTTGACCATGACAATGCGAGAAACTGCCTTCACTTTTGAATAGTGTTATGGGGTCTTTAACATTTCCCTTTTCCCTTCTAGTGACACTAGAATACTAAATTAGACCAGGGTCCAACCTTTTAGCTGCCATGGGCTGCATTCCCTATTTGAGAAAGGTCCGCAGGCTGCATCCAGCATGAGCGAGCTGGCAAACGAATCCGGCCCAAGACCATTTCTCAACAGTTCAACCCACTCCCTTATAAACCTCCTCCCAGGGCAGCGACAGAAGCCAGCGGTTGGGAGAACCCAACGCGTGGAGCCTTTCCTGCAGTCTGTCAGGAAGGCAAGCATTTCTCTTACCATCCACCAGTTCCTTCCGAGGGAAGAGGAGAGTGGGAGGAGAGGAGGGTGGGGAAGCGGGTGGGGAGAGAGAGGAGGGGGAGAGAGAGACTGGGGGAAAAAGAGAGTGGGGGATGAGAGAGTGTTGTGGAGTCCTGTAGCTCAGTGGTTAGAGCACTCGCTTTGCGAGTGAGAGACCTGGGTTCAATTCCAGGCAGGGCGAAACCTTGGGCAAGTTTCCTTACTCCACACAGAGCCTAATAATAATCCCTCCAAAACCAAAAATAATAATAAATTGGTCATTTTCAATCTACAACTGTTTGTGGGACATTGCTGTGCGCAATTGGCTGCCGCGTTCGCCCACAAATATACAGTCAATTCACTTTACAATATATTCTGTGAAGCGCTTTGGGACGTCTAGAAGACGTGAAAAGTGTTATATCAAAATGCAAGGATTATTATTATTAAGAGTGTTGGAAGGGGGTGGGTCGAGAGAGGGGGAGAGAGGGGGGAGACGGGGGAGAGAGGGGGGGGGGAGCAAAAGAGGGGGGAGAAAAGAGGGGGGAGAAAAGAGGGGGGAGAGCAATGGGGAGAGAGATGGGGGAGAGAAATTGGGGAATGAGTGGGGAGAGAGGGAGAGGGACAGGAAAGGGGAAAGAAAGGGGGAGAAAGAGGGGGGAGAGAGAAAGAGGGGGGAGAGAGAAAGGAGGGGCAGAGAGAGGGTGAGAGAGGGAGGGGTAGGAGAGAGGGGGGGCAAGAGGGCGAGGGGGAGAGCTTGGGAGAAGTGGGTAGGCGGTAGAGGGGGAGAGAAAGAGGGGGGAGGGGGACAAAGAGGGGGAAAGAGAAGGGGAGAGGGGGGAAAAAGAGGGGGAAGGCGGAGGATACTCTCTCCCCACCCCCCCTCTCCCAGGCACTCTCTCTTCTCTCACAAACACTCTCTCTTTCAATTACTTACTCACATTCACTCCCTCCCACCTCACACTCTCTCTCACTCTTTGTCTGCCCCTTACATTCATTCTCCCCTTCTCACTCCTCGCTTCTCACACTCTCACATCTTCTCTCAATCTCTCTCTGGTATCACTCTCTCAATCACTCTCAGTTTCACTCTCACACTCCCCCTTTCTTACCTCTCTCACACATATACTTTCTCCTTTCTCCCCTCCCTCTCTTTCTCCCCCCCACCTCTCCCAAGTGTGGGTCACTATCTGCAGGGTCAGGAGCTGGCGGTTGGTGGCTAAGGACATGGTTGGTAAGAGACGCGCTTGCCTTCCTGACAGACTGCAGTAAAGGCTCTGCGTGCTGCGTCCTCCCAACTGCCAGCTCCTGCCTTCGACCTGGGAGGACGTTCACCAGGGAGGGAGTGGAAATTGGAATGGTGGAAATGGTCTTGGGTCGAATAAAATCACTCGCCTGTTGGACCACACTGATTAAAATCTAGTTCAAAACCATTACTTGCAAATATCACCAAGAACACTTAAATTAGACATCTTCCACATCCTTTGGTTTATTTCAATCTTTCAGGAATATTTTGACTTAAGTGGCCAGTGTTGGGAGATAGTACAGTACTAAAGGAACAGGGTAACAGTATAAGAAAGGGGAACTAAAATCCTCTTTGATGCATTGTCATTAGGTCAGAGTGCTTCATAGAGTCTGTCATTTCAGCCATTATCTATGTGATTTCATCTCCCTTAGACCATCTTTCTCAGTCACTTACCAAGGACAGTTACTTCTCTCAATTAAGTCATTAGTGTGTAATGTTTAAGAAATTTAAATCACTAGGAATAATCAGGGGGAAAATGAGCAAAACAAAAACAACATTTTTGAAAATTATTTTAAAGAGTACCAATAAAGAAACTCCCACATGATCCAACTGAGAAAACATAATCTAACAGATTGCTAGATTTTGCTAAAGAAGAGTGCTAGATTTATGAACAGAAAATGAAATCATGGGATTGGCAGAATTATGGTGTTCGAGTATCAATGATCATGCCTGCTACTATTTTCAATATTGACTTCAATATTGAAGCTTTTAATAGCAAATTGAAAAAGTGCACTCTTAGTTAGATAATTATTTGGGGAGGTCAAGTTTGCAGGCCTATGGGGAGACAACGGAGGGGTGGGATTGATTTGGATAGCTCTTTTCAAAGAGCCGGAACAGACACGATGAACCGAATGGCCTCCGTCTTTGCTGTATAATTCTATGATTCTATGATAAGATGAACAAGCCTGTTGTGAAATCTGAAATGTTATTAAAATCCAAACAGTCTCTTCAAAGGACGCCCAAGTACCAACATCTCACCACAAGAATATTAATAAGATAAGAGAAATTAGGGAATTAGGGAATCCTCTTTTCAATGGGGTTTTCCGAATCTGGTCTCATTTCCAGTAGGAGATATTGATCAGTTTGTAAGATTTTCTATATTATTCTTAAAGGTAGTACTTGGAAAACTAGCCAATCAAAAGCAATAAAAAGGAGAACCTCATTGGAACAATCTCCATTACCCATTTTCACAGTTTCTGTCAGAAGCTTCCTTAAAATCAAGACTCAAGATTCAATAAGGGTGACTACTTTGTTGTTTCCTATGACAGCAATAGGCTGTCACAGAACAAGATGGAGGATGTTACCCCATTAATTGCGAAAATAGTGTGGAAGATCATTGATTACATTTATAGGCTATTTCAATTACGGAGACTTTTCTTGCACTGGATTAAGTTTAGTACAAATGCTGCTATTGCAATTAAAATTCCAGAATATTCCCTCCTCCCCTCCGTACCTCTTGCAGAGCAATATTAAAATCTGTACCAACATACAAATATATTGCTCCCTGTGAGACTTTCTTCAAATGTTTCACTGCATTCATTATTTCTTTTAAACATTATTCATGACAAGAACAATTTGTTACTCCAGGCACAGGAGATGTTACAGCATGGGAGTAGGGCCAGCGGCTGCTGTTCCAGAAGTTCAGAAAGAAATTAACCATCAAGCAGAATGGAACGCTCTTCAGAAACTTAAACAAATAGTAACAATATAATAATTCTTGCATTTGATATAGCACCTTTCATGTCATTGAGATGTTTCAAAGTGCTTCAAGGATATACTGTTAACGTAGATTGACTGTATTTTGTGGGTGCCCCAAAAACAGCATGGAGTGAGTGACAAATTTTATCTTGGGAATTGCTGGCCAGGACACCAAGAGCAACTACTCTTTTCAAATAGTGCCATGAGATCTTTAGTGTCCAGGGAGACCTTGAGACCTTGGTTTAACATCTCATCCCAAGAGCAACAAATTTTCTTCAATGTTCATCACTCCTTGTGTGAAAACTCCAATGCAAAATGTTAATGTGAGTCACATTCTCTCAAAGGGCTTCTTTATGGAAATCATGAGATTAAACTGGTTAATCCTATCAGGAATAATCCAATTTTTATGTGTTTATTGGAAACAATCTTTCTCAAATAGAACTTAATGTGAGGAAGAAATTTGTATACGTTTATTGCTAAGAGAATAATTACCTAGTGACTCTCTTGAGCCTGTTGATTATGTGTCATGGCTTTGGGTCGGGGTTGGTGGGTATTCATATAGCCACTTCTCCACTGATAAGCTCCATGTGCAGGTTTGCTAAATTTTTGCGCTCTGCTAGTTCCCACTCACCGTAATCTATTTAAACCGGGTAAGTCAGAGATGAATCTGGCCTCAGATGTTCGACAACACTAGTCATGTGTCTTTTCTATTGAGTCAACATTGGATCTGTGTCTGGTTAGGGATGGGATTGGGCGTCATTGGGCACATTGCTGTGACGGATTGGCTGTTGTGATTACCCACAGGGCAGTAGCATGTTCTGTGAGATTCTTTGAGACGTCCTCCCAACTTGTAAAATGCACCACATGTAAAGACCTGCATAATCAAATGCTGAATGGAATTCAATGGCTGATTGAACCATTGAGGGAAATGTATGGAAGTTAAAGGCTTGAAGGTGTATGAGGATAGTGCAAAGGGCTGTGGATTGAAAGCATGCAGACCAAGACCTTTGATATCAATGGGCTAATGGCCTTTTTTCACAGTAAACTGCTACAATTCTATGATGCCACTTTCTCAGGTTGTGTAGGAGCAATGACAAACAAAATTAGAAAAAGCCAAAAAAAAGTCGGATTTACATTACTTAATTAATTCATAGAATCATAGACATTGTGCTGTTCACTGTTGAATTAATCAAACATAAACTGGTTCTGTGGAGTCCTGTAGCTCAGTGGTTAGAGCACTCGCTTTGCAAGTGAGAGACCTGAGTTCAATTCCAGGCAGAGGGCGAAACCTTGGGCAAGTTTCCTTACTCCACACAGAGCCTAATAATAACCCTCCAAAAACCAAAAACAATAATAAATTGGTCATTTCAATCTACAACTGTTTGTGGGACATTGCTGTGCGCAATTGGCTGCCGCGTTCGCCCACAAATATACAGTCAATTCACTTTACAGTATATTCTGTGAAGCGCTTTGGGACATCCTCCCGACGTGAAAAGCGTTATATCAAATGCAAGGATTATTATTATTATTATTCTGATAGCTCATCCACTGGGCTAACTTCTCTAATCCCCAAACCAAGACCTTTGATATTCTTATTTCAAATGTTTATTTCTTCTAACATTTAAGGTCTCAGACTAACCACATGTGATATATTCTAACAAAGCTCTGTAGCTGAAAGTTACCCTCTGCTAACTATACCCATAAATCTTCCATAACAATCCTGACCATATTCATGTTTCAATCAGCAAGAATATTCTTTACTATTTATCCATTCAAAACTTTACAGAATTTTGAAAGACATATCTTAGATCCCTTCTTAACTTCTCTATTCCAGTGGAAAGAGAACCAATTTTTCAAAACTATTTTGTAAATGTAACCCTTAATCTCTGGTAACGTATATTTACACTTCAGGTTCCTTAGCCTAATTTTAGGCTCTTCCATGTCCTTTCATAGACATTGTGCTGTTCACTATTCAGTTAATCGAACATAAACTGATTCTGATAGCTCATCCAACGACCGGGATGTTCTTTCTGTAGTGGTGCACCCAGAACTACATGCATTATAACTATAGGTTAACTTAATAGCTTGCAAAAATAACATTACATTCTTGCTTCATTTGCACTTTATTTTTCCTTGTTTCATTTGTTTTCTACATTATCCATGAGTATGTCTGTTTCATTATTTATTATTCATTAAGAAAAAAAAAAATTTTGTTGGTGATGCCAAAATTCTGGCAAAAGTATAAAGTTTTACCCAGTGAGATTTTTAAACAAATGGAAGTTTTGACAATAACCTGCAAGTCTACTATTCAAGACTCTTTCCAAAGGAGACCCATATCATCAGCAGTTCTTTCTAGATAGGAACTCTTCTCATCAGTAGCCCCCTTTGAAGAACGTAGCTCAACATCAGGAACTCTGTAGTATAAACGTGTGGGATCTCACATTTTCACAACCCTCAGCAAGACAATATTTTCTCATCTAATTTCTAACTGGCTCAGGTCTAATGTTAACTATACTAATATCCTAGTTTTATTCAGTGATTTTGCCTTATTTACCTGTACAGATTCAGGGCAGGGATGCAGAATCATTCACAGCACTACAATAAACATATCACAGCTGTTGGAATCATTTGCGCACACAGGTACATTTTACACACTCACTTCTTGGAGCTAGACTGTATCCCCTCCGCAGCACAGGAATAGTTTCCAATATCATTCCCGAAACGGACAGCAATGGAGGTGTCGCAATCATCCACAGTCAGGATTGCCACTTTCTGCTCTGAGGGACCTTGTGCGACTCCTAGCGTCCCAATCTTTGGCTGAAATAAGAATAAGAAATAAACAAAATCAGCACAGGAGGGCAGGTGTCTTACTGCTTACTTCAGCGCAGCTCATTCATGAAATATTAACAGAATCCACTATCTATAGAAATGAACAGATGTGAGGGGAAAAGTAAGTCTTTTGAAGAAATTGTGAGATCATTCACAATTGGAAGCAATTTTTAATTGCACAATAAAATATTATGGTAACACTAAAATATGCATAATGCCTGTATTCACAATATCAATCCATTTACAATGATTTAAAATTTACTTCAAAAGTTAGTTAAAACAACATAACTTGGGCTTTTTCTAATAAAAATGCAATGCGTTTTACTGCTTGTGAAATTATCCTAAACAGGATATTTCTCATATAAAACAATAAATCATTCAACATGTGAAAAAATTTATATTTTACAACAAATTCAACAATTATCACTCCGACTGTTAAACAGTGGAACTTCAATCCCTATTTGACCACCTCCAGCTTTGTCACAATGGTTTGGTACGAACACTGTTTTAAAATTATTCAATTTCCAGAAATAGCAGAACAAAAATAATTTTTAATTAACTCTAGAGGTAACATTTTAGTGCTACGCTTGAATTAAACCCTTTGCTCTTGTGGTTCTACCACACACTTCTTTCTCTTCCGTCTTTCTTTGTCCCTACAGAGGAGAAAGAAGCAAACTTCCCCTGACCTACCTGCACCTTTTTTTTATCATGTGAAAATTAAATTATCCAGTAGATTTCCGAATCACTTGCAAATTCACCGACAAAGCTTCAGAACTTAATTTAAATACTTATGAAATATGAGCTGATTGTATCAAGACCTACATTGCCTTGAGCATTATCTGGTTATTCCTGCAACCTATTTGTCAATAAACTTCTCATATCAGGAAGGAAGTGGATGCATTCTTCTAGGGGTGTATTCATTAGCCCAACTTGTTGCTCAGGTAGTTGGTGAGGGATATGTGTGCTTGAATATTACATTGACAAACAATCCTTGTGTTTGCCTTAACCAACCTTCCAGCAAAGTGTTCTTATTGTATAGCATTGTTTAATAAAGATTGCTACTAGGGCTGCTTAAGAAGATAAAGAAGGCAGCACTTGCATATTTATGCTATGCAAGTCCCTCAGGTCAAAATGTCTCAAAATGTCTCAATTAATAACTGCCAAGTGTAGTGACCATTTTTATACTCTGTGCACTCTCAATGTTGCACAAGCAGCCATGAGGTGGATCACTGACTAATCAGGAGGATTGTTGACTAGGAACTCTCCTCTCAAAAAGTGCCTTGGAATATTTAATACCCACCTAAAAAAAACTACAAGGAATATCAATAGCTATAATTATATTATCCTGCTGCCACTCTCTACTCTTCCAACTCTGGTCCAGTGCTTATTTCTGTCTCCACTTTTGTACATCAGCCACTATTCCCGGTCTCTCTTTTTCTATCCTACAGTGGTATAAAGGACAGACAAAGAGACACCCAAAAATAAATGTTTCTTGATTGAATATTTCTTGATTTATGCCATAAATCTATGCTATATTGTTATTTCTATGATTATCTTGTTGGGCAACAAAAAAGATTGGCTACCACTTCTCTACGAAGAGGAAAGAAGCAAAGTTCCCCTGACCTACTATATACGCAGACTAGAACTCTCTCCCCAAATCCCTTCGATCATGCCTTTGGCAAACACTTTCAATCTCGCACTCCACTCCCCCCCGCTAAGTGATTCTCATTAATACTGTGAAGCACTTTGAGATGTTCAACAGATGTGAAAATTGCTATATAAGTGCATTTTTTGTTGAAGAGATTGAAGAATATTTTTCTTTCTCCTTTTATTGAAAAGTGACTGGTTATTTTGTAGCTCTGGAGAAACTTCACAAAAAACTCAGGCAATCCATTAACTGTGGGGTATTTATTGTTTTGATTTATTATTACACAATGGATCTAAGCTTTGCAGTTGATGGGATCATACTTTCTATCAATTTTTTTTACATTAACTGTGGTCACCCAGATGTTTCCTGTAGCTGTTCAATCAATCTGCCCCCCAAAGGGTGCATTATTATCTCACCAGGTGGGAGGAGGTAATGTGGAAAAGATACACAGGTCCCTGACCAAATCTGAAGCAAAATTATTCCATAAAAGCAAAATAAAAAAATTGATAAAATGTCTTGAGGTTGCTATAATTTGATCTGTGCACAAGGGTGCACAGATCAAATTCTAACACATTGCATAACACACTTATCTGTGTGTCCTTCATACAATACATATAAGGCACTTGATTGGCTGCTATAAATTTCTGAAATAAAACTGTCATATCATATCAAACCACTTCAGTATGAATCACCCAGCACCTGATTACTTCACTCAACTACAAGTTGAAGAATATCCCCCATGCATCCAAATGCCATTCTCAACAAAGATCTTGCTGGTAAGTCTATTTAATAATAATAATAATAATAATCCTTGCATTTGATATAGCGCTTTTCACGTCAGGAGGACGTCCCAAAGCGCTTCACAGAACACACTGTAAAGTGAATTGACTGTATATTTGTGGGCGAACGCGGCAGCCAATTGCGCACAGCAATGTCCCACAAACAGTCGTAGATTGAAAATGACCAATTTAATTATTGTTTTTGGTTTTGGAGGGATTATTATTAGGCGTGTGGAGTAAGGAAGCTTGCCCAAGGTTTCGCCCTCTGCCTGGAAATGAACTCAGGTCTCTCGCTTGCAAAGCGAGTGCTCTAACCACTGAGCTACAGGACTCCACAAGAGGTTGCCTGCAGAAGCAAGCCTGGCCCTGCAGACTACCCTTAAAGAAACAGCTAAATTTTCTGTGCCACTCTTACTTAAACCTTCTCGGAGGTATCCCCTATTACACCTGTCTCCAGAAAAGCCGCTGCGTCAAAACAATGGGAGACAATAACAAGAAAACAGCCGATGTCAGAAAGAGTGGCACAATAAATACACTGCATGCATGTACACCTTTTGGAAGTTTTATTTTACCAATTGCTATTGAAATAAGGCTAATGGGGAAAAAAGCCAGGAGGAAATTTGTTTGAAAGCCTCTGCTGCTGTTATTTTGGTAGTGTTTATCTTACAAATAAATTCCTAACGTTTCTGCATAGGCGACACATCTGATATTATCACATCATTTATGCAATAGAAGTTCCATGCAAAGGTGGAACATCATCAGGCAACAAGTGTCTGAACCCCCAGTTTCACAAGTACAAGGTAAAGCCTGCGAATTACAAGAGATGGGTCCAAGGAAAGCACCTCCTTTAGCATCGCAATTCATTACGCAGAAGCCGCAATATAAAACTGGCATTAAACAAATATTCTATATTACAACACTGTAAAGGAGTGTTTCCAAGCCCTTCAGATGAGACATTAAACTGAGGTCCCATATGCCTGTTCAAGTGGACGTTAAAGGCGCTATATGAAGAGAGAAGGGAGTTTCTCCCGGTGTCCTCATCAACAAAGAACTACAGAAATTTACAGCACAGCAGAATGCATTCGGCCATCATTTTATTTTGAGGGATTGGTTTATGATTTACACACCAAGAGATTTGTATCCGTCTTTGATACTGTTTCCTACAATTCAGAAAAATAACTAATGGGACAAGATGGTGGAAGCATAAAACAAGAAGTCTTTTTAAATGAAAATATGAAATATACAGTAAAAATAGATTTTATTTTAAACATAGTACCTTGTTGTAGTACTGAACCTGTACTGTGTGCCACTGCCCATCGCTGACTCCTCCAGGCAGATATGGGGTTACCACAGTCATTGACTCCCCTGAAAATACAATGTGCGTCATTTGTCAATGCAGACTCAAATAAACAGACTTTAAGGGAGAATTTAATGCGATTATACTGTATGTCTACAGTTTGATTCCTAATTGTACAGAAGCACCTCTCCCAATCCCTCTATCCTCAAAACCTACCTTAATAGAAATGTTTTTCACAATATCTTCTTCTATGTTCTCTCCCTCTTAAAGCAGCATTGAGCATGATTTTGTGGGTGTGGCCTGAAACATCTGACTGACAATGCAGCTGCAGGACACATATTGGCCTCCAGGGAAGTTTTTCCCTGAATAATTATGATATACGGTTACATTAATCACAAACATATTAAAGTGCAGCTCTAGCAGCAGGAATAATTAGAAAGACAATTAGAAAGCCACCTCCACCACATTGCCTGTGTCCGACAATACCTCACCCCAAAAGCTGCCAAAACCCTTGTCCATGCCTTTATCACATCTTGGCTGGACTACTCTAACGCCCTCCTCGCCGGTCTCCCCTCCTCCACTATTCACAAAATTCAGTTCATTCAAAACTCCGCCGCCTGGATTCTCACCCGCATCGAACTTCGTACTCCGATTACTCCAATCCTTGCCAAACTCCACTGGCTCTCTGTCACAGAGCGGCTCTCTGTCACAGAGCGGATCAACTTCAAGATCCTCACTCTAGTGTTTAACTCCCTCCATTCCTTGGCACCCCCTATATCTCCAATCTCCTCTCTCCCCACACCAGTATCCGCTGCCTCCGCTCTACTGGGTTCGGCCTCCTCCACTCCCCCGAATCTTCCGCTCCACCATCAGCGGCCGTACCTTCAGCCACTACGCCCCGAAACTTTGGAACTCCCTCCCTCAACCCCTTTGCCTCGCCCCCTCATTCCTCATCTTCAGGTCGCGCCTTAAGGCCTTCCTCTTCCATCACGCCTATGGTCACCTTCCCTCTCCCCCTGGCTCAGCCTGAGGCTCCGCCATTGTTAAGCGCTCTGAGATGCCACCCAGCGTGGAGCCCGCTATATAAATGCAAGTTGCTGTTGTTGACATCATCTCACAATAGCATCACTGAGCAATTCAGGTTAAAATCTAGCAGAATTTCTTTTTACTAAGACCTTTTAAACAAAGCTTATAATAACAATGATCCTTGCATTTAATAGTGTCTCACATCAGGAGGACATCGTAAGATTTACTCTAAATTGCAGTAACTGTATTTTGTACCTTGCTTTATTCTCTCTAAATTCAGATTTCTTTCAGGTTTCTGCCCTGCAAATAACCACTACCATAACCACTATACTCTCATTTGCAAATTCTGCTGTTCAGTATGGGTCATCAGCTGGGCCAATGGAAAAGTGCAGAAATATTTGCCAATAAATGCAGGGAAATTTTTTGTTTGGTGCTATTGAGGTACATTCTACTGCCAACCTACATTTTTTCACTTTATTGATAAAAACTAAACATGAGGAAATAACACAAATTAGATTGTTGCAAAAAAATCTGGGAGACCTATTTTTTGGGGGGGCGGGAGGGGGTGCACCAGTGAGGCTACAGAAGGTCACCACCTCCTGCCTCTCAGGGCCTGGCACCGCACAAAGAAACAGAGACCCAGAGAGAGAGACACACACAAACACAGGGAGAGAAACACACACTCTCTGAGTGTCACCACGCTATTCACCTCAGAGACACAGAGAGACACATACACTCAGAGAGAAAGACACACACACTCGGAGAGAGACACACACACTCTCAGAGAGGGAGAGACACATAACAACTCATAATAATAATAATCCTTGATCATGTTTTCGAGACGTCTCAAAGCTCTTCACACAATATACTATAAAGTGAATTGACTATATTTTTGGGCAACATTCGGCAGCCAATTGCGCACAGCAGTGTCCCACAAACAGTCATGGATTGAATGACCAATTTATTTTTAAGGAATGTCTCATAAACATAGCGAGACATACACTAAAGGCAGAAGAGAGAGAGACACACATACACACAGAGACACTCATAAACACACACATGTATATGGAAGACACACACAGACACACGCACAAACATATACATGCAGAGAAGAGATACACAGACACACTCAGACACTCACAAATACACAGAGAGAGAGACACACACTCACAGATTCTCACAAACACAGAGAGAGACTCACACAGACAACAACAGTAAATAACAAATTACATTTGTATGGCGCTTTTCACATCAGGAGGAATCCCAAGGCGCTGGGAAACTCACAAACACAGAGACACACATTCACACAGACACTCACAAATACTGAGAGACAGACACAAGAGCGGAGCCTCCAAGTGAAGACCATTTACCGCTATCACCGCACTGCGGATGCTGTATGGAGCCACCCTGCCCAGCGCCGTCGAGAAAACAGTGTAAGGCCCGAGGCCTGAAACTACATTTATAGCGGGTTTGTAGCGGAGGGGTTGTTTGTAGCGGAGGGGTTGTTTGTAGCGGAGGGGTTGTTTGTAGCGGAGGGGTTGTTTGTAGCGGAGGGGTTGTTTGTAGCGGAGGAGTTGTTTGTAGCGGAGGGGTTGTTTGTAGCGGAGGGAGTTGTTTGTAGTGGAGGGAGTTGTTTGAAGCGGAGGGTTGTTTGTAGTGGAGGGAGTTGTTTGTAGTGGAGGGTTGTTTACAGCGGAGGGTTGTTTGTAGCGGAGGGAGTTGTTTGTAGCGGAGGGTTGTTTGTAGCGGAGGAGTTGTTTGTAGCGGAAGAGGTTGTTTGTAGCGGAAGAGGTTGTTTGTAGCGGAAGAGGTTGTTTGTAGCGGAGGGGTTGTTTGTAGCGGAGGGGTTGTTTGTAGCGGAGGGGTTGTTTGTAGCAGAGGGGTTGTTTGTAGCGGAAGAGGTTGTTTGTAGCGGAAGAGGTTGTTTGTAGCGGAGGGGTTGTTTGTAGCGGAGGGGTTGTTTGTAGCGGAGGGGTTGTTTGTAGCGGAGGGGTTGTTTGTAGCGGGTTCCATGGAAAAAGTGCAGCTGCACTTTTCCATTGACCCAGGTCATCAGACTTTAGAACACACATTATGTAAAAATCCCAATTCCTCCAGTTCTCCATTCAGTTTAGAAAGGTTAAAAGTCTCTCCCCCTCCGATACTGCTTCAAGTAATGTGTGGTGAGGATGCTTATTTGTCAATCCTTTTGGTTTCTTTGTCGGGGAGACTTATTGTTGAATCCTAGGGTTTTAAAAGAGGTGGCTGCTGAGATAGTGGTTGCCTTGTTTTTGATCTTCCAAAATTCCCTGGCTTCTGGAACAGTTCCCATTGATTGGAAGATCGCAAACGTAACACCACTGTTTAAGAAGAGAGAAGATGGGGAACTACAGACCAGTCAGTCTGACATCAGTGGTAGGGAAAATTCTAGAATCCTTAATTAAGGATGTCGTAGTGAGGTACTTAGAAGACCATAACATGATTAGGCAGAGTCAACAACAACAACAACAACAAGATTCCATTTATAGAGCGCATTTCACGTCGGGAGGACGTCCCAAAGCGCTGGACAGTTGGGTCAGGACCCGAGCAGGGGGGAAATGGTCAGGGTGAGGGGAGGGAAGGGAGGGAGAGAGGAGGGGGGAAATGGTCAGGGTGAGGGGAGGGAAGGAAGGGAGCGAGGAGGGGGAAGAGAGTCGAGAGGGGAGCTGAAGGCACGGTCAAAGAGAAAGGTCTTGAGACCGGCCTTGAAGGAGGAAAGGGAGGAAGGTGCGAAGGCACTGGGGGATGGAGTTCCAGAGCCTAGGGGCTGAGAGGCTGAAGGCCCGGCCACCAATGGTAGGGCGGTTGGGGCGGGGGATGTGGAGCAGACCGGAGCCAGAGGAACGGAGGGTACGGGCAGGTAGGTAGGGGGATAGTAGGTCAGAGAGGTAGGAGGGAGTGAGGCCGTGAATGGCCTTGTAGGTGAGGATGAGGATCTTGAATTCGATCCTCTGGGGGATGGGGAGCCAGTGGAGGTGAGCGAGGGTGGGAGTGATGTGGTCCCGAAGTCTGGTGCGGGACAGTACACGAGCTGCAGAGCTCTGAATGACCTGCAGTGTGGAGGGAGGTGGCGGGAAGGCCGGCGAGGAGAGAGTTCCTATAGTCCAGCTTTGAGGTGATAAAGGCGTGGACCAGAGTTTCAGCAGCGTGAGGGGTGAGGTAGTGCCGTAGTCTTGCGACATTCCGGAGGTGATGGAAAGCGGTGCCAGTTGTGGTGCGGATATGAGGAAGAAAGGACAGCTCAGGGTCGAACAGAACCCCGAGGTTCCTGACTGGCTTTGAGAGGTGGAGAGTGCAGCCTTGGATGCTGATGCTGTCAGCGCCTGAGGTGCGGAGGCGCTGACGTGAGCCAATCAGGAGGGCCTCAGTTTTGCGCACGTTGAGCTGAAGAAAGTTGTCTCTCGTCCAGGACTCGATGTCGGACAGGCAGCTGTCAGGACATCGGTGGTCGTGGAGTTGAGGGTAGAGGAGTAAAGGTAGAGTTGGGTGTCATCCGCATACATGTGGAAGTTAACCCCATGTCTGCGGATGATGTCACCGAGGGGGAGATAAAAGAGGGTGAAGAGGAGGGGACCGAGGACAGAGCCCTGAGGGACACCACACGAGACAGTGCGGGGGGTGGTTCAGCGTAGATTCACTAGATTGGTTCTTGGGATGAGGGGGTTGACCTATGAGGAAACTAGGCCTATATTCTCTAGAATATAGAAGAATTAGGGGTGATTTTATAGAAACGTATAAGATTCTTATGGGGCTTGACAGAGTAGACAGTGTGAGACTGTTTTCCCTAATAGGTGAATCTATAACTAGGTGTCACAGTCTTAAGATTAAGGGTCAGCTGTTTCGAACAGAGTTGAGGAAAGACTTCTTCACTCAGAGGGTAGTGAATTTATGGAATTCTCCACCCCAGAAGGCTGTAGATGCTCAGTCCTTGAACATATTCAATACTGAGATTAATAGATCTCTAAAGGATAGAGGGATTAAGGGATATGGGGATAAGACGGGCAGATGGAGTTAGGTTAGAAGATCAGTCATGATCTTATTGAATGGCGCGACAGGCTCGAGTGGGCGAAGGGCCTACTCTTGCTCCTAATTCCTACATTCCTACGTTCCTATTAGGTAGAAAGTGCCATACTCCTGCATTCCTAACTTCAAAACTTCACAGTATGTGGAGTCCTGTAGCTCAGTGGTTAGAGCACTCGCCTTGCAAGCGAAACAACTGGGTTCAATTCCAGGCAGGGCGAAACCTTGGGCAAGCTTCCTTACTCCACACAGAGCCTAATAATAATCCCTCCAAAAACCAAAAACAATAATTAAATTGGTCATTTTTAATCTATGACTGTTTGTGGGACATTGCTGTGCGCAATTGGCTGCCACATTCGCCCACAAATATACAGTCAATTCACTTTACAGTGTGTTCTGTGAAGCGCTTTGGGACGTCCTCCCGACGTGAAAAGCGCTATATCAAATGCAAGGATTATTAGGATTATTATTAGTATAATAAAAAGAAAGTTGTAGGCTCAAATACATCCAGCTTACTGCAGGCAGGACAGTAGTCATGGATAACAGCAATTATTCTCAGCACCACTAAGTGTTAGAAAATGATGAATTAAACTTATAATCATTTGAGCTACTAACCATGCATATGTGAGTTAAAATGGTTGAGAATTATTTTAACGCTCGCACTAACAAGCTGTTTTGTCTTAATAAAATGCAGTCAGTCGACGGAATGTAAGAGTGAGATAACGGGTAGTTTCAAGAATAGAAGAGACAGTCACGTGTTGATAATTGCGTTCCTTTTCTGAATAAACAATTTATCCTGCTGTAAATATGTGACCTTGCTGTAAATACTTGCCAATCTCGCTAAATCTTTTCTCCAGTCAGAAACAGACACTGGCCTTGGGAGAAAGGGAGCTGCTAGGCACTAAGGTTTAATGTGCAGGCTGCTTTGGGTCAGAGACCCGGTTATCTATGTACAACGATGAGCAAGGGTCGAGTACGTTAGGTACGTGCCAAGATGCTTGATTGGAGAAGAAGGGGGGATGATCCCTAGGTGGAAAAAGTATAACTATCCTGACTTTAGGCAAGTAAGAGGACAGATCCAGCCAGACAAAGAGGGCAGCCGAACCATTGGAGAGAAGGTGTGTTGAAACCATCGTAACTGACTGACTGCTCTAAAACTGGTAGTACAAGTTCTGTTACTTGTAGTGGCAGCATTATTTTACTAGTTTTGTATGTGTTGCTTTGATTAATAAATCTCTATTACACATTAAATTGGATTGTCGGGTCATTATTTGAACCTTGGGATCGGAAATCCCAACATAAGTCAGGGAGGGGAAAATTGAGATACTCCTGCCGCACTAGATACTTGTCGACATCAAATGAAGACTGAATCAGGCTCAGTTGGGATGTACTCCAAAGGTGAATAGTCTGTTGACAGTCATTATCAAGACTCACATGTAGCTGACTAGTTGGATGACATACAAGAGGATATCTACTACTATAGAACCCCTGAGAGAATGTAAAATGAGGCAAATACTTTAGGTAAGAAGGGGAGAGAATTGGTGAAAAATTAATGTTTTCAATGTGAATTCCTCAAAAATTCAGAGATTTGGACCGGCACATTTAGAGGTTTAGTATTTACAGGTACCCTTTAAACTGCTTGTTAACTTCTCTCTGGTTTAGCCAGAGTAAAGCTGCTTATATATTTACACATCAGGTCTAATAGAAGTGACAGTGATCTGGAGTAAATTGGATTTCTATTCCAGAATCATGTATTATTACATAATATATGTTGTGTAACAGACCTGTTGAGTACTTCAGCTGGACCTGTCCATTAATGATCTCCAAAACAATAAAATCATGTTTTTCATTAAATCGCCCATTGTAGAACAGGAGGCCATCATTTTCTCTTGTAGCGAATCTGAAAATAGACAATAAATTCAGTCCGAAACTGCAGTTGTATTTTTGGGATCCACTTTTCAGCATATTTTTAGTTGGAAAAATGTGAATCTGACTGTCACTAAAATTCTGCCACAAGCTTTCCCTGAACTTTATCCTTGCTGATAGCAAGTCACAACACCAAGCTCATATCCTTGCTGACAGGTGAAGAGAAGCCACTTGCAAGTAGTTTATTTCTGATCTATAAACTGAAACAAATCTGCAAATTCTCAAAGAGGGCGTAAACAATGATGAATGACTGATACATAGACAAACTCAGGTCTACAAATTCATTATAGTGTAAGCCAGGTCAGGAGATTTGTTTTGTGAATCCTACACTCCACATAGGTACATGAACTGCTCCCAGACACATGATCCACATTGGCACAGATTCTTCAATAGGATCCTGCAGGTTTGTTTGTGTATTTAGTGCTTCAAGTTTAAAATGTTATAGTCAGCCTGACTGCAGAAGATTCCAGGGGAATTTCTCCCTGTGGTAATCTCATGAAGTTCCACTTCTGTGATAAGGAATAATGAGTGCTCACAGCCACATTTCCTTACACAGAGTGTCATTGCAGAGGAAATCTCACAAGAGACAAAACACCAGAGTGAGAAGGGAGGGAGAGGGGGGCAAGAATTAGAGATAGAGAGAAAATATGTAGATAATAATAATGCTTGCATTTGATAAAGCATCTTATACTGTTATCAAAAGATCTCAAATCACTTCACACAAGATGTTACTGTAAACTGCAGTGTATTTGTAGACAAACAGCAGCCAATTTGAACATAACAGCAAACAGCCAAGAAGTGAATGACTAATTTTATTTAGGGGATTGCTGGCTGGGACCCCAGGAGAAATTCCCTTCTCTTTCAAATAATTATGGGATCTTTAACATCCACCTGAACAGGCTGACTGGGTCTCGGTTACGTTCATCCTATAAATTAAAACGCAGACAATCAGCACTCCCCGAGTACAGCACAGGAATGTCTCCCTGGAATGTGAGCTCATGCCCTAATATTGGGCTAGAAGCCACCACATTCTGACCTACTGAAAAGTATTTCAAAGTGAGCCAAACTTACACTTTTTAATATGAATCAGTAAGTCTGTTGAGAAATTTCCCTTTAAAGAATTCAGGTTCTTCCCCCTTTTGAGGTTTTATCATCTTAGAAGGGGATAAACTCTCTTATGACCCTTATTGTCACGCTCCATCGTACGGCTTTGGTATCTTGAACATTAACTATTTTTCTTGGGTGAGGCTTGACAATATTCTTCTTGGAGCAGAGAAGATTAAGAGGAGACTTAATAGAGGTTTTCAAAATTATGAGGGGATTTGAAAGGGGAACAAGGAGAAACTATTTCCACTGGCGGGTAGCTCGGTAACCCCAGGATACCGATTTAAAATAGTTGTTAAAAGAAACAGAGGTATGAGGAGAATTTTTTTCACACAGCGAGCTGTTCCTATCTGGAATGCATTGCCTGAAAGGGTGTTGGAAGCCGATTCGATAACAACTTTTAAGAGAGCAGATAATTATTTGGGTAGGACAAGTTTGCAGGGCTATGGGGAGAGAGCAGGGGTATGGGATTGATTTGGATAGCTCTTTCGAAAGAGCCGGCATATACACAATGAGCTGAATGGCCTCCTTCTGTGCTGTATAATTCTATGATTCTAATACAGGTCATAAGAGGCAATGCAGCTGAGACAGATTCTGTGCTCAACTAATTACGTTTCATTTCTTTAACCTCTCTAACCTAGTGACACAAATGGCTACCATGTTTGCCTAACACAATCACTTCACATGACAGTAATACTAATAATAATCCTTCCATTTGATATAGCGCCTTATCACGTCGTCAAGCATCTCAAAGCGCTTCACAGAGTATATTGTGGAGTCCTGTAGCATAGTGGTTAGAGCACTCGCCTCTCAAGCAAGAGGATCTGGGTTCGATTTCTGGCAGGGTGAAACGTTGAGCAAATTTCCTGTTTACCTAGCAGTAAGTAGGAACCCGGTTGTTAGTCGATTGTTGGATTGCTTTTCTGGAGGTAATAATCCCTTCAAAAAAATAATACATAAAAATAATTTGGTCACTCAATCCACAACTGTTTGTAGAACATTGCTGCGTGCAATTGGTTGCCACGTTTTGCCTACAAAATATACAGTCAATTCATTTTACAGCATATTCTGTGAAGCGCTTTCAGTTGTCTCAAAGACGTGACAAGGCGCTATATTAAATGCAAGGATTATTATTATACTTAGCCTATTCAGCTTTATGCTGTGTTTGTTTGTCTGCATGACCCAAGTAATCTTATATCACTCCCCTATTGATCCCAATACCCTTTAATATCTTCAACCATCTATAGGAATCCATGGATTCTGGTTCCACTACAGCTTGTGATGGAGAATTCCACATTCCAAAGACCCTCTGTTCGAACAAGAATTAATCACCAGTCTGCCATATGATGGAACATTCTCTCCATACTAATGAGGAATGCTAGCCAGCTAACTTACTAGCCAGCTAACTTATTATAAAAGCATAAAAGGGTGTATAATACTCACGACAAGGATACAGTCATGTGAAACCTTTGCCTCAGACCACGAAACATCACAAATGACTTTGGTGGGAAGGATCGCGCAGTCACTTCACAGTACGGCATTTCGTAGCCTCCTGAGGGGCAATTGCACTTGAATCCGCCATCTGGAAGATTTGTACAGGTTCCACCATTTCTGCACACACCCGGAGTGCAGCGTCCAGAACGAATGTCCACTTCACAGTGATCACCTGACCAAGTTTAGATAATAAAGGTTAATGGAAACACATCATACCTAGAGATAGACACAGAGTGAGGGCTATTCCATCATATAGCCTGTTCAGAACTATAGTGTAAAAAAGAAAATTTGCATTTTACAAGGCAAATAGGTTAGAATTGAAGCAAAGATGAATTTCTTCCTGCAAAGTAATACAATTTTGGTCCGAAGCAGCTTATTGCAGGAACTGAGACTTGTTGGAAAAAGTCTATACTGTGACATGAAAATATATGTTTTTCTTCTAACAAATATAGCTCCTAATTAGCCTAAATATAGACCAAACATACTGGCCCCCACCCCTCACAAATCCAACCCCCAGCTCTGGTGCAAATCCTTATCTGGCCAGTGCCTTGGAATATTCTCCTGACATGAAAAGTCCTGTATAAATACAATTTGTTGCTGTTCATACTAATCTTAAAACGTGAATGGACACAACCCTAGGAGATGCTGCTGGCTGATATCACCAGATTGCACGCTTCACAATTTCATTCAGCGAAGAGAGGCTAAAGGACATTAAACAGAATTAGAGTCTCACCATCAAGATTTCTTTATGAAACAAAATTAAAATGAGTAATCGTTTTGTCTTTCTTCATCTACTTAGCATTTTCATATTTTGTTTATGCAGTGAATACTAACAATTTTATGGATACTGGCATGATGTGGAGTACCTCATGCTCTAACCTAGGACCCCACTTTTCCTCATCTGCACACTCCCTCTGTGTGACAGACACAAGATTAGCTGTGGATGACAGCTGTGGAAAATTTACTTTTCCACTTCTATTCTTGACCCCAGGTCCATTGATGTTCTGATTTCCTGTCAGAAATTAAGGCCTGAATTAGCTAAAACTTTCTCTCACCAAATACGGTCAAGAAGAAGCCATCCTTCTCAACCTCCCTGCCTTCTCCCTCAAACTCTCCAAACTGGAGCGTCAAATTAAATCCTGAGCTTTACTTCACATCCAGTTGCTCACTTTACCTCTGCCACATTATCCACCTCTACCTCCTTATCACCGATCGCCCCAGTCATCATTGGGTATTCGCGTTCATCGATTTCTAGGTCCTGAAAATCCATCCATCCCAGCTCCTTATCTCTCCAATATCCTACCTTCTTCCTCCACTCAGCTAACTTGGGGTTTTTGCACGTCCCCTACCCTTTCCATATCACCATCAATAATAACAAAATTACATTTGTATAGCACCTTTCATGTTGGCAGGAAGTCCCAAGGTGCTGGACAATCAGTGCTTCGGACCCGAGCTGAGGGTCAGGATCGGGGAAGGTGAAGGGCAGGGGGGGGGAAGAAGGGTGACCGAAGGCACGGTCGAAGAGGCGGGTCTTGAGATGGGTCTTGAAGCAGGCAAGAGAGGGGGCGAGATGGATGGATTGCGGGATGGAGTTCCAGTGGGTGGGAGCAGAGAGGCTGAAGGCCCGCCCGCCTATGGTGGGGCGGGCAAGGCAGGGGACGCGAAGCAGACCAGAGCCCACTGAGCGGATGAAGCGGGCAGGTTGATAGGAGGTCGCAGAAGTAGGAGGGAGCAAGGCCATGGAGGGCTTTGAAAGTAAGGACCAGGATCTTGAACTGTATCCTCTGGGTGATGGGAAGCCAGTGGAGTCAAGCGAGGATGGGGCTGATTGGGTCACAGAGCCTGGTGTGGGATAGGACATGTGCTACAGAGTTCTGGATGATCTGCAACTTATTATGGAGGGAGGAATTGGGGAGGCCGACAAGCTGGGAGTTTGCGTAATTGAGCCTGGATGTGATGAATGCGTGCATGAGGATCTCGGCGGCTTGTGGTGTCAGACAGTGGCGGAGCCAGCTGATGTTGCGGAGATGGGGGAAGGCAGAGCGGGTCAGGGTACAGATGTGGAGTAGAAAGGACAGTTGAGGATCAAACAAGACGCCGAGGTTCCGGACTGGCTCGGTGAGATGGAGTGTGCATCCTTGGATGGTGATGCTGTCTGCCTGAGGTGTGGAGGCACTGACTGGAGCCAATCAGGAGAGCCTCAGACTTGTTGACGTTCAGCTGTAGAAAGTTAGTTCTCATCCAGGACTTGATGTCTGACAGACATTCTGTCAGGACAGCAGTGGTCCTGAAGTCAAGGGTGGAGGCAGAGAGGTAGAGTTGGGTGTCATACATACACGTGGAAGTTGACCCCATGTCTGCGGAGGATGTTACTAAGAGGGTGCATATAGATATTGAAGAGGATGGGACAAAGGACAGCGCCCTGAGGAAAGCCAAACGAGACGGTGCCAGGGCTAGAAGAGAAGCTGTTTGTGGAGAGGAAGTGGAAAAGGTGTGAGTAGTAGGGTCAGACCCATTCAAAGACAGAACCATGTAGGTTGAGGTGTGAGGAGAAGCAAGCCTTCAATTCCTATGCCTGTAAGTTCTGGAACTCCACCCCTCTATCACTCTGTATCACTTGCTCTCTTTCTGTTTAAGTGAAAGCTTACTAGTAGCCTTCTAGTCTACCGCATCCCCCCACCCCCAAACCTCCTGGCTCTTTCATCACGGATAACTCCTCTATTGTCTCATCCCTGTACATCTGCACAAGGAGCCTGCTCATAATGGGTGATTTCAACGGGTGATCTAAATTCCACCCGCCCCATCTCCTCTGACTTTGCTGCCCTCCTCTCCACTCTAAACCTCACCCTCCATGTAAACTCTCCAACCCACAACCATGTTCATCACAGACAAGGCCAGCTCAGACCACTTCCTCAACATCCACATCACCCTCCCTTCCTCCAAGCCCTTCACTATCTTTTTCTGCCCATGGAAAAAGCTCCCCCCCCCACCCCATTACCCTCACAAGTGCCCTCTCAACCTCTGACCTTAATAATAATAATTTATTTCTCTCCCTCTGCCCTTCCACCCATAGTGACCCAGACACAGCGGTCAAGCTGCTAAACGATCACCTCTCCTCAACTTAAAATTCCCTCATCCCCCTGAAAACCAGGTCTATTTCCATGCCTACCTGCTCCCCCGGTACAACAATCACCTCCGCTCCCTCAAATCCCAAACCTGGTCACTCGACCGAAGATGGCACAAAACCAACCTCATGGTTCACTGCCAACTTTGGCTCAAGCATCAGTTTGAGCCAATCAGGAGAACCTCAGATTTATTGATGTCCGCTGCCTCTCTCAAGCCAAAACCACCTTCTATTCACAAATCATTGTCGAGGCCAAAAACAACACCCAAATCCTTTTCTCCACGACGCACCACCTCCTCCACGCCCCGTCTCAAGCACCCTCGATCTTCACCTCAAATGCCAAGTGTGAATAGTTTTTCATCACCAAGATCGACAACATCCGCCTGGCTGCCTCCTCCTCCTCTTCCCCCAGGTCGCCTAGCACCCCACCCATGCCTCCTTCACCACCCTCTCCTCCTACGACGGCACACACTCTACACTCATTTGCCCCCATCTTTCGTGCCTCCCTTTCCCCCACCATCACCAAGATGAAGCCCATCACTTGCTGCCTCAACCCCCTGCCCACCCAGCTTCTAGTTACCCAACTCTCCCTTCTCTGTCCACAACTGGCTGATACAATCAACCAGTCCCTCTCCTCAGGCTCTGTCCCACTCCACTCAAAACTACTGTCATCATCCCTCTCCTCAAAAAACCTACCCTCGATCCCTCCAACTTCACAAATTTCAGACCCATTTCAAACCAGCCCTTCCTGCCCAAAGGTTTGGAATGCGTGGTTGCAAATTACTTTGTTCACACCTCTCCCTTCACTCCCTACTCGAACCCCTCCAGTCCGGTCTGCACAGAGACAGCGCTCGTCAAAGTAACAAATGATGTCCTCTCTCTCTGTGACAAGGACTCCTTCTGCCTCCTCGTTCTCCTCGACCTCTCCACCGCATTCCACAGTTGAACACCCCATCACCCTCCACAGCCTCTTTACCCTCATCCACCTTAGTGGGACCGCACTCGCATGGTTCAAGTCCTACTGACTAATCGCCAACAATATATCTCGGCCAACAGTTTCTCTTTCCACCCCCTCGCAGTCACCTGCGGGGTAACCCAAGGCTCTATCCTTGGTCCTCCTCCTCTTCAATATTTATTTCAGCCTCTCAGCACCTAGGCTCTGGAACTCCATCCCCCAATGCCTTCGCCTTGCCTCCTCCCTTTCCTCCTTCAAGGCCGGTCTCAAGTCCTTTCTCTTCAACTGTGCCTTCAGCTCCCCTCTCAACTCTCTACTCCCTCCTCGCTCCCTCCTTTCCCTCCCCTCCTCGCACCCTCCCTTCCCTCCCCTCACCCTGACCATTTCCCCCCTGCTTGGGTCCCGACCCAACTGTCCAGCGCCTTGGGACGTCCTCCCGACGTGAAAGGCGCTCTATAAATGCAATCTTGTTGTTGTTGTTATGTGCTCCCTCTCGGCGATGTCATCCACAGACATGGTGTTAACTTCCACATGCATTTGAATGACACCCAAATCTACTTCTCCTCCTCCAACTATGACTCCCAGTCCGCTGACGTCCTGTCAGCTTGTCTGACGGACATCAAGTCCTGGGTGAGCATAAATTAAACGTAGATGAACGTCGGCAACATGGAAGCCATACTCTTTGGCTCCTGTCAATGTCTTCTTTCCTGTGGGTCTGAAGTCCTCAAACTCCCCAGACTCTTCTTCAGACTCACTGAACCCGTGCACAATTTAGCTGTCAGGTTCAATCCACAGTTTTCCTTTCTCCCCCACATCCGTTCCCTGACCAGGACTGCTTTTTTCCACCTCCGCCATATTGCCCGCCTCTATCTCTACCTCGCACTCACAGCAGCCGAAACCTCTTCCATGTCTTTGTCACTTCCTAGCTGGATTTTCAAATGCCCTCCTCGCTGATCTCCCCAGCTCCACCATACACAAAATTCAATGAATTCAGAACTCAGCCGCCCAGATACTAAACTGCACAAAACTCCAGACTTCCATCTCACCAGTCCTTGCCAGGCTGCACTGGCCCCCAATTACTGAACAGATCGAC